TTGTTTTTTGTCAAAATTAAAGGGGGTTGCAAACGATGTGAAATGTTTACTTACACATTTATGAAATAGAAAATTTTTTTATGCTCTTATACTCATAAAATAAAGACAAAATGATTTACACTGCAATGGAAAAGTTATAAAATGTCCACCCCTTAGTTAAAATAAATTATATTATTAGCAAAAAAAAACAAATTAAATAAAATTAGAAAAATTACATTATGTCTGCAAATTTCTCGACTGTTTCAGTTTGCAAAATCAATTACAAATTGTTGCATTAGTTATCAACTATGCCCGAAAAAATTTCTAATATTATTCCTTTTCTTATTGTATTTTAGGTGGATTTCATGAAGATTCACAGAAATGAGGTGAAACATAAATTTTTTTTCTCTCCTTTGATAATTTCCGGTGACTTGGTACTTAATTTCTGCCTCACAGCATTTTTATATGAATTGCCCTCCTAAGGTGTGATTTTTCGTTACGGTTTACGGGGTCTATCCATTCTCCTTTTTCCCTGTGGGCTACAATCTAATACCTCCGTATAATTTGGACACCGTTTGGTCTGTTCCAGCCCTACAAGGGAATTGTATATTCTGATCTTGGTGCTCTTTGCCCAGTGAGACAACTTTCTGACGGGGCATAGCTGCTCAAAGACCTTACTTATTTTCACCAACATTTGATCTTGTTTCGTTCCTTCTTCGCCTGCTACGATGCTGTCCAGGTAGTTGAATTAGAGCACGTTCGTAATCAGGATGTCGCCTAGTTGGAAAGGGCGTATTATTCATTATATTCAATATCAAGCATTTAGTTTTGTTGGTGTTGATCTTGAAGGCGACTCCCTCTGCTTTCCTTTCTAGGATTTTTATATTTATTTAAGTCTACATATCCGCATATGTATGAAATAAAAGGCACATATCGTCTGCATATTCAAGAACCCCCAGCCTGCTGATTGTACTTGAAGAACATAAAATTTAATTAAAAAATATAACAAGAATGCGATTTTTGATTAACATGATTTTTAATTTATTCATAACAAATACCTATTTTTTTTTAAATATTATATATACGAGTATTAGCGAGAAAATTTCATAAAAAAAAATTTTAACACCCTTACAATATTTCAAAATTCTTATTCGCTTTTTTTTATATGTACTCAAAGAATATAACAGTATTGTAATGAACATAGGATTAAAAGATTTTATCAGAAAATGTGATTAAATATTACGTTTATTATAACACATATTTCACCATAAATATATACGATACATATATATATATGTGTAACTTAATAAATGAAGGTAAAAAAACAAAAGAGAAAATTAATATATAGAAGTTACTATGGCGTTAAATAATAAAATCGTGATAATTATTATTTCAATTATAATTGCAGTATAACACATTTTTTTTTGGTAACAAAATCCATGTTCAAAAATAATGTAGGTACAATTATAATTTTGGAAAAAAAATTATTAAAAAAAAAATGAATTTGTACTATTGCATACATGAATGACGGCTATGTACAAGGATTAAGGATTATTTTTACATCATTACATTTTCTCAATTAAAAAAATAATAATGAAAATAAAAAAAAAATAAATTGTTAATATTACATTCTATGACACTCTATATTCAATAAAGGTGCAAAAAATAACGAATCAATTAAAAAACAGAGAAAAAACAATGAAATTCTATTTGGAATTAATCCTTTCATGAATATTCTTAAAGAATAAATTTTTGAATATAGTACAAACATAAGTAAACCGTACCGAATTTCTATATGTAAATTTATTTTAAATTGCTCAAAAAGGCACAAAAAATAGTATTAATTTTGATTTTTTTTTAATTTGATGATTTTTAATATGTTTTCAGCCGAAAATTCTGATTAAATTCGAATAAAAGATACGTGTACCTGGTGATCGATAGTTATAACTTATGTATAAAATATTAATACTGCTTAAATAATTCGATATAAAATCAACTCAAATCTACTTATCTACTTAAATTATTATTTAAAAATTATATTTTATTATCTATCTACTCAATTATTAAGTAAACTAGTTCTCAAAATAACGTTTCGAAAAGTGCCGTCACATGTAACGCACAAAATGTGTATAAGTAGGAACACAATAAGCGCAAATAGAGTATCTCTTCTGGAACTGAAGTTTTTATTTATTTTTTTATAATGATGTTTTGAAAACTTTTTGAAAGGAGTCTTCAAAAATCCCCTCATTTAAGTATAAGGCGTTTAAAATAAATAATTTCGGTACTTTTCCAGAACATCATCAATCCGACGATCCATATCAATTACATCTATCAGCTTCATTTACAAATGACAATCATATACGAATAAGGCAACTCTTGTCAAGTGATGTTTTGTCATGTTAAGGTTGTTATTTTTTTTATTATAGCTATTTTCGTTTTCTACATCTAACAATCATCTTTTTATAATTGGTTTTTGTAAATGCAATAACACATGAATAAATGTAAAAAAAGATTTTTAAAAAAAGACAATTACTTGCGTTAGTAACCAAATTAACGACGATAGTATAGAAATATTGAAATTCTCGACATTTTGCAAAATTGTTTGCCAATGACGTTCAAAGAAAGTACCGTTAATCTCAAATTCACATCGTACATATTGAGAATCGTTTTATAAGAGAGAATTTTTATTATATATTTTCATGTCTACATTCTATGACGCATTAATATTCAAATACCAAAAACTTTAACAAAATTTCCATAAATAACAAATTTATTCTGTCAGAATATCAACACACATCCGTTGGAAATAATGCGATTTTTTTTTTTTTTTTAATAAAAAATTAAATTGAATTTATTTTTCAAAAATTATGAAAATTTTTATATTTGACTTAAAAAAAAAAAAATTAAAATTGCATCAATTATGACAATTTCTATATTTATATGTAACGTATGTATGCCGATACTTATAACTTAAATTGACATAAAATTGCTATAAATTTGTTATGAATATTAATTTCTCTTTTATATAAAATTATACATACATACAAAAATAATATAATTTTCACTGACCATCCGAATATTTCATCAATATTATATAAATAAGCGCAGTAATTTTTTGTAATCATACACTTCCGGATGGTTATTAATAAGTAGATAAAATATGTATGTATATAAGAATGTAATTAATTTATATTCAACATGTAATTTAATTTTTTTTATATCATTTCTATAATTTTTTACAAATAAAATTGTATAAAATGCCTATACATACATATTCATATACATAAGGTACCTATATGAAATATAACAATGTATATCGGTAGTATAACAATAAATGTAGTTGTTGTGTTTCCGAATTATGTATTATGAATTATTTAAATCCTTCATGTCTGTCTGCAGAACTTTTTGTGTATTTATGAAATTAAATATATTTTTTTTTCATGTATCATTGTCCTTATTTATACTATGTACATACATACATTTATATTATTACAATCCAAATGAAAAATATAATATAATATGCAGGTATGTATGTACCATGCATATATATATATATATATATATATCTACCTACGTGCATGAACATTTTTTAATTTTAAAATAACACAAAAATTTAATTTTTTTTCTTTTGTTATTTTTTTGGAATTTCATTTCTCCCATGACAATAATATGACTAAAATTTTGAAAAACATATTATAAAAGTTTACCTTTACAATAATAAATGCATGTGCTGTACAACTGTACATACATATAAAAAATTCACATACATAAATAAAATGTATTATGTAGAGTCAATTTCAATTTGGTTCAAAAAAACAAAAAAATTTGTCTGGAAACATTTTTAATCATTAATTTCGAGTACAAGTAATAATATTTATGACATTTATTTACAAAAAAAAGAAAACATTTTCTCCTCATCCCCCTCTGCTTCCTCATTTGTTTGTTTTTTTTTGTTTTTCGAGCGCCATTTTACATTATAAAACCTCACATTCCCAAACCCTTTAATACATGCATATTTATAATATGTATATATAGTCAGTATAACAGTTTCTTTTTTTTTATTTTGGAGAAGGGTTGTATCGAGTACAAAAAAATAACAATGAAAAAACCGAGAACGAGAAAACAAGTACATAATTTAATTCAGGTATCTGATGTAAAATTATATAAAATATACTTGTAACTTAACATGTTCGATATGCCCATATAGTGTTCATACATATATATATTTATAAAAAAAATGTAAATCCAATCAAAGTTGCCGGCATATCTGGATGTACACTGTTTCATCATAGAAGATTCTGTATAAAAATTGAATTACGACGATAAGGATTAGGCACAATTTTTATTCTCATGAAAAAAAAAACGGTAGACAAGAGAACCTCCAAATCTTCCGAACTCAGTGTAAGAAATTTTTTGCAATTCATACTTCTCCCCAAAATAATCGTTATATCTACGCCTCTTACAAATTTCGGAACTTCAATTAATCTTAATTGCAAACTCCCGATAGCAGCAGAACCCCGCATAATTAAAAACGGCCCTTATTGCCTCATGCGCCTACACATATTGATACGGCACATACATATTACCTTTAAATTAAAACTTTAAATATTAATTATAAAAGTTCTTTCAGTAAGTTGCAAAAACTTTTAATCGTCCACGAAATTTAAAACAAAATTTATAAATATTTGGTTACTATACATTATCTATGATCTACTGACGTGCGATAACTGCATATACTCCACTTCTGCTGTTGTGTAAATTGAATTCAGGAGAAAAAAAGAACAGGAAATTATAAAAACAAATTAAATTCAATATTTTTTTTTTTTGCTATTCATGTAACAATAAACATAACGGCCTTTTATTGGTATTTATAACTACTTTTTTTTTTGTTTAATGAAAAAAAAAATTAAAAAACGAAAAACCTCATGCTATACATAAAAATTTTCATGTTCAGACAAATTCATTGCACTTTTTTACATTTAATTCAAAATTTTTTTTTCTTTTTTTTAATAATTTAACAGAAGTTGCATAATTGGACCACAACTTGAGGTCAAAGTTTGTTCAATTGGAACTGTGATAAATCGTGCTGCATATTCTGCAGATTATTGCCAACTAGAAGGTACAGGAAGACAATCCCTACCAATGCCAATTAGATGGATGGCATGGGAAAGTGTTTTATTGGTAATATTTATTTAATTTTCTTTTGAAATTGAAAATTTTAATTAAATTATAAAAATTTTCATTCTAAATAGGGTAAATATACATCAAAATCAGATGTTTGGTCATTTGCTGTTACATTATGGGAAATATTAACATTTGCAAGAGAACAACCATATGAAAATTTATCTGATGAAAAAGTTATTGAAAATATAGGACATTTTTATCAAGATGACAAAAAACATGTAAGTTTCATTTATAAAGTTTTTGTTATTGAAAAATTGGAAAAAATTGTACTTTTTTTTTTTGTAAAACAAATAATTAATTTTTTTTGTTGTAGATACTTACATTATTGGGATTAGAATTGATTTGCATGAACTTGAAACATTTAAGTCCTATACAATATTTAAGTTCTTTATGTTCAAATCTGAAAAACAGCAGCATTTGGTTTAATCCGCCATTTTCTAAAATTATTAAAATTAAATGCAAAAAATTTGATTAATTAGTTTTTCATAAAAAAAAACTGTGCTGAATTGTTGAAAAAAAAAAATTTCTGAAATGAAAAAGGAACAAATTAGACAAATAGAAAGATTTTTCTTTTACAACTACAATAGTCTACAAAATCAGTTTTATTGTAGAATCCTTTAAATTTTTTAGCAGATAATTTGATATATTAATAGTATTTTATAGGTCTTCATAAAAAAAACAAAGCTGATTATTTTTCAAATTTGAATAGCAAGTACCAAACAAACTAGCAATTTAATTTTAATAGTTTGGCAAAAAATTGCAAGTTCTTAAAAATAATTCCTTCCTTTTCCACTAATATATTGATTTTTAATAATTGTAATAATTACTTTCCAATTAAAATAATTGCTTCCAATGCTAATTATAGTTAATATTAATTATATAATATTCGCCTTGCATAATTATGATTAATTTTCCAAATTAATTTCATTAATTAAGATCAGAAAACGACTAACTACAATATATAACAATTAATTCCAATAAACATTTTATGTAATTACTAATTACTATTATAATTTTCTACTACATACATTGTAATTGTTGTATTTTTACATGCTATTACATAATTCATATTTTATAATTTCATATAATAAAAACTCGGATACATTAAATATTTTTTTTTTTACAAATTACTGCATATTAAATCCAATAGGGCGCATAATAATAATATTTTTAATAAGTTTACCGATACTATTATTATGATCCTTAGTAACAATTTATTAAATTAATTGTATAATGCACATATACATTTTGTATAAAAGTTTTAAAATTAAATAAGGGCTATGTCATTGTAGAAAGAATATTTAATGTTTAAATACTTAAATACATATATTTATAGGAAAATTTTTAATTTTTTTTTTAAATGAAACTCAATTATAATTTTAATTACTTTTATTTCTAGACATAACATTTCAATTTATCAATTATATCCACGTATAGTTTTTGTTTTCTATAATACTCAAAATTAAGTATGAAAAAATTTCATATACCAGAAAAGAAAACAAGGTTGGATTTTTATGTTGCAAAAAAACAGAATTCTTTTCCAACATATATTTTTTTATACAATTTGTCTATTATATAATTTAATTTATTCTTATTAATTTTTAATTAATTTTACATGAATGGGAAAATATATTATATAATAATTGCATATATTTCAGGTGTTAAACATGGATATACAGGGTGTTTGGCATAAGTTTGCAAAATTATGAGAGACTGAAGAAAATATTGTATGGAGGATTTTTACATCTCATTGTAGCGCATTAAAAAAAAATAATAACAAAAAAGTCCGAAAAATTTTGTGTTTTTAAAAAAAAAATCCAAAATTCTCGCCTTAAGTAGCTTTTTCTTGAAATTTAAAAGCCAGATATAATTGATTGTAAGAACAACAATAAAGTACTATCACATTATCTTGAAAACAATTGTCTAGTGATTACCATATGTTGGACAACTCCGAAGTTATTACTATTTATTTACATAAATGATTTATTTACATAAATGAAAAATCTAAAACCGATTTTTCTCAACAGGCTGAAGCTCACAAACGAGTATGTCTGCATCTATCAATTTTTCTGGAAATTGATCAAAGAATTATCTCTCAAATAATCTGCAACCTTATACGAAACACCCTATGTATTTACATTTTATTCGGTTATTAGGGATTATATCTTTTTTCGATATTACAACGCATACTTAAAAACATTAAAAATATATAAATAAAAATTTTTAATTATATTGAAATTTTTTTCTTAATTTAATTTTTTTTTCCTTTTTCTTTTTCAGGTGCTACTACCAATGCCATTAAATTGCCCACGTGAAATTTATGATTTAATGTGTGAATGTTGGCAAAGAAATGAACAAAATCGTCCAAACTTTCGTGAAATACATTTATTTTTGCAACGAAAAAATTTGGGTTTTCAACCAATTATTGGTAATAATATTAATAATGGTATAACATCATCATCATCTATTTATTGACTACCACATCACTCTTCAATATCCCATTTAAATGATCATAATAATATAACAACATACCATAATAAAAGTACTACATGTATATAAATTTTATAATTATGTATTAAAAAAAATTCATCAGATTTTATTTTTTTAATATTAATAATAATGAGAAAATACAGCAAAAAAAAGGAAATTTTTAATGTTTTGTTTAATAATATAACATAATATATAAGTATACATATAATGTAAATGTAGGTAAAGTATGCATATAATACCGAAAAAAAACAATTTCATTAAAGTGCAAATATAAATTTTTATATTTATATTATATAATAAACACCATTTTGCATAAAATTTAAAAAAAAATCATTCCATCAATGTTGTGTCATTACCAGAATAAAATGCATTATAAAATTTTACAATATAATTTTTAATAGAACATAAAAAAAAACAAAATATTTATTATGAATTCAAACTGCCTATATCTACTGACTATATAAACATTTAAAATATTATGTAAATTATACATTATGTAAATTATTATATATTATTATATAATAATATACTCTATACTATTACAACAATATTTATATATATATAAGCATTATTAAAAAGAGAACACAAAAAAAATGTATTTTTTTACATCATATAGAAAAAAAATCAGGTATTATACCGAATAATATATACGAAAAATTATTGTAATACATACCTACTATTAAATAAATTTATAATGTTATAAATTAATAAAACAATTATTTATATTATTATACATTTAATTATAGTAATTAAACAAAAAATTTTATTTTTAAACCTTGGAAAATTTTGAGAAATAATTTTATTTACATAAGTTAATTAAATGAAGTTCTCACTAAAACAAAAAAATCATTTTATATTTACTTTAATTTATTTTAACTCTTATATAGTTATATTGTAATAAAATTTAACACAATTATAATATTGTAGTACTATATAATTGTAGAACCAATATCAATTAAATAATTTAAAACAAATATATAAAAAATTTAAATAAGAAAATAACTGTTATATACATTATAAGAATATTAGCCCATGTTTCATATTCCGATTTTCAATTCTAATATTAATTTTTCAATTTCTTCGAAATACAAAACAAATGGGCTATCATATTAAACACGAAATATGTTATTAAAATGGAGATATATGAAGAGTCTACGAGCAAAAAATAATAAGGTCGTTGAAAAGACACGCCATAAAAACCGAAAAAAAAAATAAATTTAAACTCAAAATAATGAATAATAATAAAATATGAGTTACTAATTAATTAAAATATTAAATGTAAAGCAAATGAAAATGAAATAAATAAATAAACATTAAAAAATAATATCACGAAAAATTAAACATCGGTACGAATCTAAAATTGATTTTTGTTTTTAAAAAAAAGAAAATAAATTATAATTATTAAACAAACATAAATAATAATAATAATTTACACCAAAGAGAATTTTATATATATAGAACGAAAATTAATTAAAAATCAAATAATAACTACAAAAAATAAAATGAAACAAGAAAATCAAACATACTAATAAAATAAAATATTCAATTAAAAAAATCATCGCAAAATTACAAAACAAACAAAAAATATTATTCAACATAAACAAAAATATGATTTTATGTGAAAACAATACAAATTTCATATGACAATTTAAATTGCAAAAAAATGGATAATAAAAAATAATTACACAAACATGGAAATAATTGTTACAGTCGAAAAAAAAGGACGAACATTTTAGTAGAAAAAAACATAAATTTGAAAATATTACAAGATTAATTGAGTTGAAAAAACTGAAAATAGAAATAAAAAAAAAGCATTAACTAATTGTATATTAAATAAAAATATTATAATTTTTATGTACATAAATTCATACATACTTATATTTATGTATAAAAGTTAGTTATAATAAAAAAAACTGAGATATAAGTATAAAATGAAAGGAAAATAATTGATTTTTGTAGATATTAACAATGTAAATTTGCATAAAAATTAAAATGTAAATCCATAAAATAAAAAGAACCTATCGTATATTAATAATAAATATATACCTATAAATATTATTTACTATTATAAAAAAATATAAAAAAAAAGATAATAGAATTTTAAAATTTATCAATATAAAAGGTAATACTGAAGAAGAAAATACAGAATTTATAATTTTCAATACATGAATTTTTTGTTAACTTTATTTTAATTATTTTTAATTCTTATTATTCTTTTTTAAAAATTATACGAATTATACACTTCTCATAATTTAAAATATCTTCTTCTTTTATAACACAATGTTATATCAACTGCTAATTGTATTTTAGGTCTAAACAATACAGAAGTTTGTACCAATTGCTTCTGTTGGAAAACTCTAAAAATTTGTTTTTTAGCACTTCATTTACTTTAATTAATAAAATATACTGCAAAAATTTTTGCATTTTAAATAGAACTTAAAAAGTAATAACTACTTAGGTGTTTTAGAGTTTTTCCATTTTCTAGTTATTACATTGTTGTAATTTCTTAAACTATAATTCGAATTTTAATTCTAAAAATTTTCGGATTTTTAATATTACTACTTATTATTTATCGTTTTATATTATTATTGTGGATTATTGTACATTGTCTTTCATTCAATTTTCCTTTTATTCACTTATTTATGATAATGATAAAAGCAGTAATATGTATGATGAGTTGTAAATGTAGTATGTTATATAAATACTCTACTTGTATATAATATAATACAATTTATAATTAATGTACCTATATAATATTACTATAATAAATGGTATATATAATTGTACATTAATAGTACAATTATATATACCATTTATTTTAATATAAAAATAATATAATAATTTTTAGCATATGAATAAAATAATTGTTATATATGCATATGATTATTGAATTATACTAGAATTTATATTATATATGTAAAATAATTACGAATAGACTGCAATGCATTTCAATCCTATTTTTTCAAAACAAAAACAATAATACAAATGTAATATATTATATAACAAAATAATGCAATTTAATACTATATTACATGCTCACATTTTGTATACATAATTAATAAAAATTTATTTGCTGCAACGCCAACTTTTCATTTTTAATTTTTTTAATATTATTTTGGCATGCTTTTATATTAGCAAACTCAACTATGTAGTTTATTCAATTTAATAATATTAAAGTTGTTCAAATTCTTTCTTTATATAAAGAAAATTTATTTAAAATTTTACAATTCAATTATTCAAAGAATTTTTTTTAATTTTACAATGTAAATTTTACACTATTTCTATAAAAGTATTCATTTCTACAGCATATATTACTCGAGATTTATTTTATCACATTTCTTTAATTTAAAAATAAAATTTTAATGAAATTATTTATAATGATATCCTAATATATAATAGATATTTTAGATTAAATATCTGCGAAATAATGCAAATATTTTTAAATATGAAAATAAAAGTAAACAAAAAATAAAAGTACTTGAAATTAAATTTTACAAAAATTGATAAGTTTTAAATCATTTTTTTTTCTTTATACACAAAAACTCGAATTTTTAATAAAAGAAAAAAAAAAATTAATTATTAATATTAAATTTTTAATTATAATAATATGTATTTTATATAATAAATTATATAAAATATGTTAGAATAATAAAAAAAAAATATCGAATTCATGTAATAATTAACTATCACAAACTAATATTGTATTAAAAATAAACAAAATGTATAAAATCAAACTAATAATAAATTACAAATATAGAAATATAAAATTTCATTAATGTTGTAATTGTAAAAATAATAATATGTATGTAAAATGTAATCTTCTTAATAATTATGTTCTCCATTTATAATTTTTTTTATATTAATTTTTACAAGTAATTAAAAATTATCTTCTCATAAAACATATAACAAACAATTTTGTACAGAATATTATATATTAAAATTTTGATTTTTTTTTTAATTTAAAGTTTAATATTTTTTAATTTAACAATAAGAAAACTATAAATAAATATTTAATTTTTAATTCATTTGGGTTTTATTTTATTTATTTTGATTTTGAGTTTATTTAATTTTCAAGAAATTTGAATTTTATTCCAATAATTTTCGATTTTCTACATTTTTAGATTTATTAATTTACAGAATTTTTATCAAATATTATTGACATATTGAAATTTATTTAATTGTAATGTAAGTACCAATAATAATTGAGAATTTTCGATAATTAAGAAATGAATTCTGAAAGTTCTAAATTTTATTATTTAAAAATTTTTCAAACAATTAAATACAATTGCATATTTTACTTTTGCAGACTTTTTTCCGATTGGAATAAAATAAGAAATTACCTTTAATTCATAAAATCCTTTTACTTACTTATTTGGAACTGTTAAGGTTTCCAGCTAAGAAAGGTATTATTAAATATTTAATTTAATTAATTTTAATTTCTGTTTTTCTTTTGTTGTCTTATAATCTGGTAATAAAAATACACAAGGTAATGCCTTTTTTTATATTGTGTTATAATATAAATCTTATGTTATGTCATTTAATATATATATATATAATATATATATATATATAATATATAATTTTGTAAATATTTATAACGAAGTAATTCTAAATACCATCACTACTAACTATATAATTATATACATATACATAAATAATACATAATATATTAATAAATAATTAAATTAAATGATGTTTACTTGTTAAAAAAAAAATTATAATTAAGACTATTGTAACTGTATATTTTTCTAAAATAATCAATTATAAATTATTATTAATAATAAAATAATTTAATTTTAAATTAATACTAATTTACTCTTATAAATAACAAATTATATAAATATTAAATTACATATATATACAATAATAAAATAAAATACGAATATAAAAATTTATAATTTTATTTTTTATTGAAAAACTATATTATCTTAAAAATTAAAAAAAAAAACGAAAAATATAAATCCTTCTCCTTTAAATAAAAAAAAAAAAGAAAAAAACTATACAATTGTATAAATAATTTGACAATAAGAAATGAGAAAAATATGAATTAATTAAACCGATTTTAAAAACAAAAAAAAAATAATATAAAACAAAATTAATTAAAATAATTAAAAGAAACTTTCTAAAAAAATATATATACATACGTATATGTAAATTTATATTTATATACGAAATATATGTATGTATACTAATATACATACTATACAATTCGATTTATTTTAATATTATATAATAAAATTTTAAATTTAATTGTAATTTGAAAATTATTTCATCTTCTATATACCACATTTAATTTATATATACAATATATAATTAATATATTAAATAAAAATATTTTAAAAATTTGAATATTCTATATATACATTATATTTTAATTGAT